ATGTTATGATTGTATTCCTGAAATTTCTAGAGTCATATTATTATCTGACTTTCTGGACTGCAAAAATTCACCAGCCACTTCAATGATGTATAATCTGTCAAGGGTATAACTTTTTTTTCCATATAGGTAATAATATAATAATTACTTAAGACTTAAACAACACATTTTAGCTCTTTCCGAGTGGTACAATACCTATTTTTTACAGCATTCATTGTCTTGCTATAGTAGGAAACCACATGTTTTTTCCATGACATACCTCTGATAGCACTGTTCCCACTGCAAAATTACTAGCATCTAAAATGAGTGATATTCAAGAGTTGGATCTGCTAATACAGGATTAGTGGGTAATTCTTCAGTTTGTTGAATTCTTGCTCACAATTAACAGCCCAACCAAACTTACTTGCTGTTAAGTAATTTGTATAAAAAACAGTAATAGTAAATTCCAAGAAATCCTTTTCCCTAACACAAATTATTCCATGTTTGCCAATTTTTAAATAAGCCTGTAGACATTCCCCTTCTGCTGATTATGTGTCCCAGTAAACTCACTTGTTGACAGAACAATTCAGATTTCTTTGGATTCAGCTAACAGTTCTCTTTCCCCAACTCATTCAGAGCTTTCATTAGCCCTTCAAAAGCATTATCAAAGATCTACTCATGTGTGATTATATCATCCAAGAGATGAATAATTCAGAGACAGCACACTCCATCAGTTGTTGAAATGCTACAGGTGCACAATATAATCCAAATGGTAACACAACAAATTGCCACAATCCATTTCTTCCACTTGCTTCATTGATTCACACTTGACAATGTTCACTCCTATGATCCAATATCAAAAACCCTTTCAATCCTGACGTATTAGGGCTGTATCTCCAGTATCAATCTTGTGAGATATTTTATTTGCTCAGCCTAAGTCATGAGATCCACTGTAGAAGGTATCTTGGTATTTCATGAGCAAGTCAGGTAATATATGGCACTGATCAATTGTAAGACCTCCACAGCTCTTGTAAGTGGGGTAGTAAGCTGTCCTAATGTGAGGAATTTATATCAGAGTTCTTATTTCTTGTCTCAAAGGCAACTACTTCCAATGTTATTTGATGTTAAGTACTAACTGTACAGCATCACATCTTGCAATGTCTCATACAGACTTAACACATATTTTATGGTTTATCATGTTCAAGGTATAAGTGATGATATCTTTATTCTTAAGATCCACGAGAGAGAGAGAGAGTTCTTCCAGCCACTAATCCTTCAAGATTTGCAGAAGTGTTTGGAATTACTACATCCCAGCCACTAGATTTAAATTTATTCCTAACAAGTCCTTGTATGGGTATTTCACTTAATGGTGGTAAAATAAATGTCCTCCTTGCTTTCACCGGAAATTCAACCCCTGATATTGTAATTGTCATGTAGTGCATAGGGTCTTAGAATATAAAGCTATTTTATACTAGCCTAATCTCACATCCATGTCTTTGCAGGAATTCTTCCTCTATGTCAGTTATCCACACATCATGAGGTGTAGAGAAGCTTCCTATAGTAAGGTATCTCCACTTGCAGTTCACATCAGTCAATATTGATTTTTTCATCACTGGAAGTAATTTAACACCTATCATTATCATATTGAGTCAAAGAATAGTAGCAGAAAAACCCATGTTGACCAACGTATTGCAAAGCTTCCTATCAGTAAACCCATGTTCTCATTTCTTTTAATAATGAATTTTTCTAATTTGGAGCAAATGGAGAATTCTCAGCCTATCTTTTCCCCATAAATCCTGCTAAATCTTGTTTTCTGATGTCTAGTTAACTCTTTGTTGTTCCTTTGATCTGCTAGGCCTCTGGGATACATCTTTAGGTTATTGTCTCCTTGGTTTATTAACATCTCTCGATTCCTCACAGTCTTGGCTTTAATGGCTAGTTTCCATATTCATAACAGTTCTCTTTTATTTATGTCCTTTGGAGAAGTGTTATTCCCTACAGGCTTTTGTCTACAATTCCTTTCAAGAAATACCTATTATATTTTGGTTTTATTCCACCATTCCGTGTAACTACTTGTCTAACTAATCATTTCAGTTTTTCTATACTATCATCAAGGAGAGATGATGTTTCATTACTGCTCGATCTAATAATTCTCTAATTTCTAAATGGTCCCTTTGGTTGTTTATCTGCAACTTTAATGGATTCAAGTTCCAACTAGAGAGCTTCCTCTAAAAAGGTACACTTACTCTGCTTCAGTCTAAGTCTGTTATAGCATTTATGAATTTATCACATGCCAACAAATCCAATATTATATGTAGAGCATACAGGTAAGCTAAGTAGGCAAACATCTCCAAATCTTGCACAAGTTTGGTTAAGATCTCTTCTTTCCTCTGCTCTGCTCTTGAACTTTCCTTTGGATAGTTCCTTCTGTTGTGCTACTCTGAAATTATTGGAGTAGGCAGCTACCAATGCTTTATAGTTGTTACTGCTCTAACTTGGAATGTTGCTTAATGTTTTTAAAGCTGGTCATTTTAGCTACACAACAAGATAAAGAGCTCTTTGTACACTATTTTACCTGTTCATGCTGGAAGCTATTTTGAACTGAGTCTCATATGTCTCTCATGGTAGTTTTCTTTGTAATTTTTGGTTACTTGATTTGGCAATGTTTTTGAACTCTCATGATACATTCTGGAACTAGATTTGGTAGTGACATAGCTGGAGTAGTCCAGAAAGGTCCAGCGTTCACAGACAACACAGTAGTAGGGGTAAAAGGTGTAGACCAAATAATTTCTTCTATTTCATATTTTATAGTAAATGGTGTTTTAGATTAAATTCTTAAGCAGATGCAGGAAGAGGTGTGTCTAGTTTGATCTTTGAATTTACCAGTTCATTTTCCAAATATTTCAGCACAGCCTTTCTATGCTTTTCAATTTTGTCATTACACCCTTTTGTACTTTGTTAATGTATTTCTGCACTTCTTCAATCTTGTTGTTACAATCTTTCTGGGCATCCACAACAGCTTGTTGTCCTTGTCTTCCACATTCATATTAATTTGTTTTTGTTAATTCTTCTTTAAATATTAAGTCTCTATTGATATTCTTTTAATTCTCTCTCAATATATTCTTTGTCTTCTTTATATTTTCTTTCTCTTTTTTCTTCATCCTAATTTCACTTCTTCAATATCTGCAACAAATTTTCGTGCTCATTTCGTGATTAGGTTGTCATCTTGAATTTGAAATTCAATCAAAGTTCTATTTTATTTTCACCAAAATAATCCCACTTCTGATACCACTGTTGTAACTTGTTCTATCATTGGGCATGTTATTTTGGATTATTTGGTAAAAATAATGCTACGTTTAATCTGCATAACGATAAATTAGTTAATTTTTTAATTTTCAATTACTACAGGATAAGTTAAGTTGCACACCTAACTCACAAATAAATCTATTTGCAGAATTTCCTCGTTAATTGGTCAATAACAATCACGCTGACTTACTAACTGAATCACAGACGCACTAACTCTCAATGTCTAACTAACATTAAACTGAAATACTCATTGAATCAACATTTGACTAACTTATTAATTCACTGAATTGACTAATTTAACTAAGTCTGGTAATACTTATATTGTACTCGTTTTCTACTACAGGAAGCTTCTAGGCATATTACGTCATATAAAGTAAACGCCCTCTAGTGAACAAACATTATATTAAAATATACAAAATATAGCATACATCAGAATGTATTGCACTATACACGCTTTTTCAAATGAAAATTTATTTTGCATCTATACACTACAATAACACTTTCGTGGCCTGCAATATGAACAAATAAATGCTGCTCTTAGCAAAAAGTTGAGGAAAAGAATACTCATTCAAATAATACAGTGGGCCAAGGCAGCCCGGTGGTTAACGTGCCAGACTGTACCAGTCATGTTCCGTAATTTGTGCCTTGTTACCACAGAATAATAATAATAAAATCGCGCTCCGCACTTTGGGGTCGTGGATGCGTTATAAGAGTGACGGTCAAATCCCACTATTCGATTACAGCCTACAAGTTGGTAGTACATAATATTGACTAGCTGCTTTCCCTCTAGCCTGTCACTTCAAAATTTCGAACAGTTAGCATGGATAGCCTTCAAGTAGCTTTGCACGAAATTCAACAAACAACAAAAAACTATTGTTTTACTTTTTCCACACACAAAAAAAAATTGATGTTCCTTTTTTACAACGCGTTAGCACCTAAACATTTATAATGCCAGATCTTAGTATGTCAAGGCTCATTATAGCACACTAGAAAAAAAATCTGTCACGCTCACCTCTGTTTATAATAGTTATAATAATTAAGCTCTTCGCACGTATCACCCAAACACGTGACACTAGCAGACAGAGCTGAGAGTAATTTGTACAATCCGCATTTAACAACACCACGAGGTTTATGCGATAAGCTGTATGAACTGCGTATGAATCAAAAAGTGAGACTTTCAGCTGTTCTGTCTATTGGCCCAGGTAATATGATAAATCACTGAATGTATTAAATATGTGTTCTTTTGTTGCTGTATTTTTTGTTTGTTTTTTTAATTAAAAGTAAAACAACTATTAGGACAAGCTTTATAACATAAAATGTTGGCTAGTTGTCCATTTTTGAGTACTTGATTGTCCTTACAAACTTTAAAACCTGGTTATATTCAAATTAATGTTAAGGAATTCGAATTCAACACTAATACTTCACGCTCTTGACAAGTCCTGTTTTAATTACTAAGGGATATATGAGGCAAGTGAGCTAAAAACAACTCTGGGACAAAGTTATTCAACGTTTCGAAAAACATTATCGCACGCCATTGCCAAAACAACACGAAAAGGAAGAAGATTCACGAACAAAGGTCGTCGAGCGTGTAATGCTACTGAAGACCGAAACACCAGAGATGATATGGTATTATAGAAATTCCATAATGCATAGCATATTTATACATTACGGCAATTGTGCATCGCAAAAAGTTATTTAAAACCATTACCAGCTCTTACCTCAAAACTTTGTATTTCCCACATTGCGCGTCACCTGTTTTATCTAAATTCAGACTTGTTTTTGAGGCTCTCGATCCGTACTCTCTTTTCTGTCTAACCTGTCAGCACAAGTTTACAAAACCGATATCCATCGTTGGCTCACAGTTTCGATAATTCTAATATAATGAAACGATAAAAAAAATACAACCACATTTTATTTATCAAAAATATCAGAAAAACAAGTACAGCTCTACTCTAAACTAAGCACAGAAAAGTATATTTTGCGAGTCAGTATATCGTGACGTTCTTGTTTTCATTGGGCAAGCATAACTATTTGCTTATTACACGCTTTAAAGTTGCATTTAGAACTATAAAATCAACTTCTCCCCAAATATTAGCATTACGTTTCACAAGTGAAAGGTTTTTCAAAGTTTAAACTTAGAATATAAACTAACAAACACAAAAGTACAATTCAAATCAACATACATTTTAAAACTGGCACTATTAAATATTAAAGAAACTGCCCTTTTAAATGTTCAATATAACGAGAAATTTATGACACCTGTCTGTCCAAGTATTTTAATTTATATACTGTAGAAAATTTCTCGTTATATTGAACATCTGAAAGGGCAATGCAGTTTCTTTAATATTTAATAGTGTCAATTTTAAAATGTTTGTTAATTAGGTCTAACGCCATCCTTTCGTTGGCCCTACATATTAATTGTTTCTGTAAGTTAACGTTCTTTTATTGTAAATATTAATGCTGAGATTGATAAATGCTTATTAAGTTTTAAGAGTTGCTTGCTATGTGGTTTACAAACAGCTTCAAGTTGGTTGGAAAGTTTGTTACAACTTGTTCAAAGTAGGGTGGAGAAAAATATGCATAATCTGAAGTTAGATACTGCATGTATGAAATTCGGGAAGTATCCCATAAATATTTGTAATAAATAAGGTACAAAACATTACCTTATGATGTCAGGATAATATCAGTGAAACGTCATGTTTTAATTATTCTTTATATCCCATTTATTGCTTTTATATATACCTTATTTTGTAAATATAAAGGAAATTAAAACATACCTGCAATAAATACAATGAGTCCTCGTTTCGAAAAAAAAACATTGCATTTTACTTTTTTGACGAATTGCCCGAGGACAAAGCTAATTTACATGCGCACACACACACATGCATATATATAAACTAGCATATGGCACCTTAAAAACCACGGGGCAAGTACTACCACTCCACCCCATAGTATACCCTAACCTCGCACTTCGTAGATAATTGAAATAAATAAATTTTGTGAAATCAAGCTTGACCAACAAAGAGGCAGAAAAGTGCAGTCGAAGCAGTCAAACGTCGGTAAATTCCTTTGTGAAATTAATTAATAGGTTAAATAATCGCGATTTTTCAACCTATTATTTAATTTTATATTCGTCGCCTAAAAAAATTCCTTTGTGAGCCAATCAAAATTAAGATCATTCAAGAAATAAATTCGTGCCTATTCATAGAATAATTATTGGTAGAAATCAGTTAGATTAACAACTTCTAATATATAGAAAAGCCAGCGCGTTTTGGTTTCAACAATGGCTTTTATGTTATGTTACTTAACAACAAAAGTATAACCTAATATTGTTGTTAGTCTATGTACTTAGAGTATAAAATGAAATGTACAAACAACAAAAGTGGAAAAATATTTGTTTATTTCTTAATTTAGAGTCTTCCGTTTTTTTTGTTTTTTTTTATTATAAGAAACGTTGGTGATATAACAGAAAATAGATTAATTTAGAAACGATTTAAGTTTAAATTGAATCAATATTTCTACTTTTATGATAAATTTACTTTAGGCTTATTATACCAACACTTACTACACTTATATATAGTTATAAGGTTTCACGTCAGCCACCCTCACAGCCCCCTTGCACCCCCGTCACTAAAATCGTAATGGGCAAAGATTAATCGAACTATTCTATCTGGATAAATGCATTTTGGCTTTTATGACTCCTCCTATTTCGAGAAATCAAGCGCGACGTGACACACACTGGCTTTTATATGCAACAAACAGCTGTTTCTCACCTAACGATGATTACGTATTATGTGACCTAAAGTGTTAATACTCAATATTAAATATAAGTTTTCACGCAAGTTTTTATCGGTTGTACATATTATTACTATAACTTTTATTCACAATCTTTCACTATGTTTACCTGGCATCATCTGGTGGCATACAAGAACTATGGCTAACAATATTTAATTTAAATGTGAATAAAATAAACAAAAGTTTTACTATGTACAACCGATAAAAACTTGTGTGAATTAAAAAAAAATCAGATACTCAGTATTTGTTTATTGGTAGAGTAAGAAGTATTTTTGTTTATTTTGTTACTTAACACTAACAGTAAATATTTTGTTAATACCAAACTGAGACGATACTGAAATTTTAAACGAATGTTAAAACTAAAATTATGCAACATATATTCAGAAATTTTAGGCTTTCTTGAACGCATAAAATTACAAAATCTGGTATCCCTGATTGATGACCTTGTATTCTTAATTTAGATATTTATATTGTAGGGATATTTTAAATATTAATTTAAAATAAAAATATGAATCTAACTTCTAAGTATAAAACCTATAGTATATAGGGACCTGTTGCGTAAAATAAAACAACCATTATTTTTAATTTTACAGATCATCTGAACACCAGAGTGAAATTTTATACTTTTATTTTATAACATATAAATGTAACGTAAAAAAAATAAGTTTTAAATCATTACCTTCCACATAAAATTTACTTTCTCAAAGCAAGGTTTGTCAAGTAACCCCAAAGAATTTTAACGGGTAAGACCTTAATATCAGTCGCTCACCTCTATTCGATACTTCCTCTGACATTCACATATCCCACGAAATATCGCTCAACGCCACAGGGCAGACGATTGAGTGACATCAAACCTGTTGCTATCCGAGCTATGAATAGTGGTCTCCAAAGTGTCTGTGTTCAAGGTTACGCTTCCTGCGTCACGTGGTCACATGGAATAGGGAAGCAATAACCTTGAGCAGAACAAGGCTTAACCTACGAATCTCCCTAGATAGTCTTAATAGAATCTTCCGTACCTGAGGATGCACTCGAATCTTTCCGTAGGCGTGCCCATCTGCCAATCAAGAAGACATAGTCCCGCCTTTTAAAAAACATGCCTAAAGGGACAAGTACATAGAATGTCGACCGAATGTTTAAAAATCCAGTCTGAAAGATTTTAGTCTACTTCAGTTGGTATAAAAAATAAGAACTCTTCGTTTACTAAGCTCCAGTTTCTCTCGTTAATTTTTTTATATATTTAACTGATGAAAGTTTGTTTGTTTGTATTTAAGCACAAAGATACATAATGGACTATCTGTGCTCTGCCCATCACGGGTATCGAAACCCGGTTTCTAACTTTGTAAGTCTGCAGACATGCCGCTGGGGGCAACTGATGAAAGAAGAGTACGAATCAATTGTGCTCTTATTCTACTGGTCATTTTGTTTTTGTTTTTATTGTAAAATAATGAATATTCAGAATGATTGAGAACAAATGAAAATTTGTGGTGATTTTGTATTAATTTTTAAAACGCCCAAAATGTCAGAATCAAAAATAATTTTGTTTGATTTTTGTAAATTAAAATTTATTGAAACAAGCCTATATTTGCCATCTAACTTCATCTTAGGGTAAGAAAACGTCCTCAAATGGATTTTTATTGCAGTGATTTTGTTGAACCTATGTATTTGCACAAAATAAAAATAAAATGACTTCTTATTGTAAACACAACTATAAACCGAAGATTATTAATCACACAATGTTGCTTGCTGTACAAACTAGAAATAAATAATATTCTGCTCATCTTTAAACCTTCTTATTATTAAAATAAAGTTCAAATGTAGGATAGTTTAAAACGTCTTACGTAAATGGTGGTAATAAAATGAGCCACACGGAAACCTGTAGTATCATAATGTGTGTAAAAACATATCCCATGGTACATGAAAAATGTTGCGGCCTAATATTTTTGTTACTTGTTTTTTTATTTTTGCTAGGCAAATAATCAACAGCTAAAACTACCAGAAAACCTCCAGAAAATGCCATATAGTTTTTGACTAACCTCGAGAATATTTTCTAAAAATTCCAACGATTTATAACCGCGAACAATAATTTACAGTTTTATTTTTCTTAATGATTTATTCACAGTTATCATTCCGGGATCTTATTTTTAACCAATCAAACTGTTACGACAGCGGAAGTCACGCGACGCTAGGAGCACGCGCACTGGAGTTTTTAGAAGGATCGTGACTTAGCGGGCAACCTCACGAACGTCCCAGCGTTTGCTAGACGCCCTCTTTTTTAGTATATAAGGCAGATAGATAGATATAGAGACAGATAATTGAGTCAAGCGAGTGGTAGTGACGGTAATATAAAGTGTGTTTTGTTATCGAGATTGCAACCGTATTTACTGTGGAAATTCTGTGTATTGCAAAGTTTTATCGAGAAAAAATAAATTAGTTTTAATTAAGAAAGGACTTGTATCGCTGAAGAAAGCTTTTCTACAGGAAATTAACAAACGACCAGATACTCAACGAATTGGTGTCAGAGAGTGGGACAGAAATAAAAGAAAAAGAAAAAGAAGATGGAAACGAGAAGTAGCAAATCAAACTACAGCTTAGCAGATTTGATGGCAGCAATACAAGAACAGCAAAAGAAACAAGAAGAGAGATTACAGC